CCCCCCCCCCCCCACACACACAGATGGACACGAAGGAATGTGTGTGCAGGTCCGCCCGGCACTGGCAAGACCCACACTGCGTGCGCCATCATCGACGCGTGGAAGCGACTCGACAGCAGTAACGGAGGGAGCACACGAGAAGGCTCGGGTGGACCGTGTGTGTGATCTTCCTTGCTCCCTCGCTTCGTCTGTGTGTGGTCAGGTCAGAGGATCTTAGCCGTTGCCGACTCCAACATCGCCGCCGACAACATCTCGGCCGGCCTGCGGAAACGAAGTACCTCACACAACCAAATCACACCACACAACACAAGAACCTGCATGCATGGCATCCCCGTGTTTGCTGTGCAGGCATTGCGTCACTGCGTGTGGGGGCCTTCCGAGACAGCGACCTCCACGACGATGCCATTAAAGGTGAGTGCGCCGGCCCCCCCTCCACACACAACACCTGAGTATGGGTGCTGCCTGTGTGAGGGTGGAAATACACAGACATGCGTGGCTACGACCAGTATGTGGAGCTTCGGCGGTCGGGAAGGCGGGAGGAGGCCAACGCCAGGAGATTCCTGCTCATCAAAGAGGTCAGCTGACTACAGGGGAGGAATCCTACCTGCACCAACTCACTCACTTATGTGACATTGTCGTCTTATGCCAGGCTGTGAGGCGTCACACGATCATCATAGCGACGTGCATCGGCAGCGGGCACGAGATGTTCGATGAAGTCACCTTCTCAAAGGTCCTCATCGACGAATGCGCACAGGCCATCGGTCAGCACCCACCCCACCTAACACGCACACCAACACACGCACACTCGGTCGGCTGGCTGCTTCAGAGCCGTCGAGCCTGGTCCCGCTGGGCCGCGGCGTCGACCAGATAGTGCTCATCGGTAGGTACCTCCCTCCCCGCACGTAGCCCTCCAATCAAACACCACACATGTGTGCCTGTGCGTTCCTAACTCAGGTGACCAGAAGCAGCTGCCGCCCACGATCCTGTGCGAGAGTGCTGCCGCTCGTGGTCTGGAGGTGTCGCTGTTCGAGCGGCTGCTCAACAGCAACGTCACCGAAGCCATCATGCTAGAGACACAGAGGAGGATGCACCGATCCATCGCGGTCAGTCAGTGCACTGCAGGCAGTGCGTCTGCGCGATGTTTATTTCATGTGTATGCGGTGTGTGGGTGTGGGTGTATCAGGACTTCCCCAACAGACATTTCTACGACGGGCGGCTCAAGGATGCCGGTGAGGGAGGGAGGGAGGGAGGAAGCCGGATGCCCTCGCTCGCTGGTCGATGCTGCTCATGGTCGTTTCCTTCCCGTGTGTGTGTAGGTGTGGGTGACGACGAGCGTCCGCCCATTGCCGGGCTGCACTGGCCGCAGGGGGGGCAGTGCAGAGTCGCCCTAGTCGATGTCGCTGGCTGTGGGGAAGAGGCCTCGGGCACCTCCAGAGCGAACCGCAGGCATGCAGATCCACACCCACCACACAAACAGACAGACACGAGGTTTCTTTTGCTGCATCTGCACTCACCGCTGTTGTGTGCAGGGAGATCGCTCCGCTGCTGCGGGTGTTGGTGCAGGCCCTGGAGCATAGATCTGTTGAGCCGACAGAGGTACGTACGCACGTCAGCCACCGCGACACACGCAGGGTCCGCGCAGGTGCACCGATCTGTTTGTGTTCACAGATCGGCGTATTGACGCCCTACGTCGCGCAGAAGCGTCTGCTCATCGATGCGCTGCGGGACATGCAGGTCGGCAAACCAACCACCACAACAAATGTCACGCAACAGCACACCTCTCGGTCTGCCTGGGTGTATTCCAATCGGCCTGCATCAGGCCGGGATCTCGACCTCCTCTGCGTGGCTGCAGGGTGCCTTGTCGGGTGTGCAGGTTGACACGATTGACGGTTTCCAAGGGATGGAGAAGGACATCATCCTCTTCTCAGCTGTCAGGGCCAACGCCGCCGGCGCGCTCGGGTTCCTCAGGGACCCCCGACGCATGAACGTCATGCTCACACGGGCCCGCAGAGGTCAGCCACCACATCTGTGACATGTATAGCAAAGCTCTCTGGGTGTCTGGAGGGGTGGGTGCGAGTGTGGCCAGTGGATGTGGGTGTATGTGTATGTGTCAGGTCTGGTTGTGTTTGGTGACGTGTCGACGCTGCGTCAGGACTCCAGGGACTGGGGGCCATGGGTGCAGTGGGCAGGGGAGCGGGGTGCGGTCATCAGAGATGGCCGGATGGATGAGGCCTTCCTGGCTGCCTGACGTGTGATGTGACGTATATCAACCAACGAGTCAGGCGGTGCGTGCAACGCAGTGCATGGGGGGCAGCAGTGAGTGGGTGCGTTGGGTGGACAGGACTCTGGTCCGTCCATGTGTGTATGGATTGATGCATTCACTGAGAAGACCTGTCTGTCGACCACTGTCCATCAAATATGTACACACACCTTTACCCTGCCCCTCCCACACATCCCCCACACCACCCCCCGCCCCCCAATGCACACACGAGAGCAAAAAGACGATGAATGTCCTCACACACACGACTGACTGACTGACTGACTCGCGGAAGGACTCACTCGAGCTGCAAGACTGTGCCCGAGTAAGTGGCAATAAGCAAGGCAATCTCGCCCCTGGTTTCACCAAAACGACCAACGAATGCAACCCACCCTCCCGGCCGACCGATTGCTCCTGGTGGGGAACCTCCCACCACCAACACCACCAACACCGTCGTGGCCCACCTCGAGTATCTTGCCTCACTTTGGATTGCCCCTGGGTCGCTTAGGCCGTCTCATGCCGAAGCACCCTGTCTGCCTAAGCCGCCTCTCCTTCTCTGCCTGAGCGGCCTGCACCTGCCGCCTCAGCTGCTCTCGGGCCGGCGCGGGAAGCTCCAGCTTGACGGACGTCACTGCACCTGATAGACACACACAGACAACACGGCATCCATGGGCGGTACTGGCGGTGTGCGGCTGGTTTGTTTGTTTGTTTGTTTACTTATGGCAAAGCTGACGGCCGTGTGTTGTCTAGCGGGTGCCTCTCTGCGCATGGCCTCGACGTCCTGCTCCGCCCGCGTGTCGTGCAGCTGGGCGTCATCCATCATGTGCGACTTGGTCTGCATGGCAATCACACACACACACGTGTTTGTCAGACGTGGGTGGATGCAGACACCCCATGCCAGTGAGAGAGTGAGTGAGTGTTGTATGGCTGGCGGCTTCCGTACGTACGCACCTTGACGCGAAAAATCTCAAAGTTCCTCTGAGTCTCGTCCCTGCAGCACAGCACAGCATGCAAACCGAACGAATGACTTCATCCTGGTCCTCGCTCTCGCTCCCTTGCTCCCTCCCTCACATGAAGTGGTGGGTCTCTTCCTCCGCCTCCTTCTCGCACCGCCTCATGAGCTCCCGCCTCCTCTGTCGTGCCTTCGCTACGATGTCCCTCGCCTCGTTCTGCGCCGAGTCAAGCATCCTCACCAAGGCCCGCGAGTCATCCTCGGGATTATACACTATCTCTCCCTTGTCCACTACCCCGCTGGTCGCCTCGAGGCCGCAGCACCACGAGAAGGGAAAGAACGAGGGGCACAGCGACTTGCGGGGGGAGCGGCTGGCCAATGCCGATGCCGACGCTGGCGGCTTTGCTGGTGAAGGTAGCGATGCTTCTTCCTCACTCATTCCTCGTCCGTTAGTTGCGAGACTGGGGGCTGGGGGGGGTTGCGAGCTCGGCCTTTTCGAACGACAAGAGCACTGCAAATCCCAAGGTGAGAGAAGGGCGGTTCCATTGCTTTTCTCAGGAGCTGGCACAGGCTTCATTTTCACAGTCTTTTCTGTCCTCTGTGTGTCTTGAAGTTCCCTCTCGTGTCTATCTGCAGTGTTTTGGTTGATAGAAGGCCAGGTATGGAGGGTGCGGCGCCGTACGAGGAGGAGAGCATCTACAAGATCATCCCTGCAGAGGTCCCCCCTCCCGTCAAGCCTCCCGTCTACCGCTCCAAACACAGCCCCTTCACCTGCCCCACCGCTTCCACCTTCGGACTCGCACAGACCAGCAAGCCAGGGGTCAACAACCTGGGCGGCTCCATCGAGGAGCCGGCGGGCAGTAACCACCACTTCAGCAAGGGCGGCGCCACCTTCGGCAAGTCGCCGGGCCTCAGCAGGCCCGACCAGTACGCCTTTCTCAAGAAACAGACACATGCCAAGCCTATCGCGCCACGTGCGCAGCCACACGCACGCACACGCAGGCAGGCAGGCAGGCCCTCTCGTATGCCATGTGCGCATGGTTGATCGGTCTTCCTCTCTTCCCTGTCTCTGTCTGTCCTTGTGTGTGTGTCTCACGTCATGCAGTGAGGAGTTTGAAGGAGACAGCGCCCGAGAAGCTGCAGCCCAGCCAGCTCAAGAAGAAGCTTCGTCCACCGGTGCCGGCGGCGAACGACAAGCCGGTGATGAACCTGGTGTCGGATAAGAACTTCATCACGGCCAATGCGGTGGACGTGATATTGGCTCCACCCCGCCGAAGGCTGCCGCCGACGCAGGACTTCCTCAAGAAGGCTGACTACGGCATGACGCCCGACTACCTGCACAAAGTCAAGCAAGACATTGCCAACGAATACGAATACGTCCGAAAGGTGAGGTGGGCATCCGGTGCGGGGGGATGTGCTGTGCTGTGGTGGGAATGATGTCTGTCATGCACGTGTGTGTGTTATGTCAGCTGCATGAGGAGGAGCTGGAGTCCCGCAATCAGCAGTTGCGTCTGATGGGTGAAGAGGAGAAGGAGGCGCTCATCAGGGGATTCAAGGCCAAGTGGGAGCAGGTCAACAGGGAATACCAGGCCATGAGCCACCAAACCAAACTCGACACCGTCGGCAAAATCAAACGGTCAGTCAGTCAGTGTCTCGTCCAGCCGACAAGCCCTGCAGCCAGGCGATGTGTGCGTGTGTGCGTGTGTGTGTTGTGCAGGAAGGAGCACTTTGAGAGTCTGCTGGGTCAGATAGAGAAGGACCTGGAGAAGCTCAACCGCAAACACATATTCGTCGACGCCACGTGCTGACCGACTGACCTCGCCAGCCAGCGGACCAGGGGAGCATCCAGACGTGTGGTTCATGTGACAGACACAGACATGCCATGCTGCATGGATGGATGGATGGCCGTTGCTGGTTGACCAGCTAGGTCCATGGTGATGAATGCGTGGAATTCAATGCTCGTCGACATATTATAGACACGATCCTCGTTCATTCATAGGTATGTCTCTTCTTCCGTCTCCTCGCACACACAAGATATATACACACTCGTCCGTCCATGAAATGAAGACCTCTCTATCTACACAAATTGGGGAGGGAAGACGCATCGCATGCACGACTGACTGGGCGACCGAAGCCGCGTTGAATGAATGTCTACGGTACCCGTTCACCATGCAGTGCGAAAATTGGGAGGGGAGGGAGGGTGGGAAGACAGCTGATGTATTCATTCAACCCATCAAAAACAGCACACAGCTAACGACGAGCCTGTCTGTGTGTATACAGCGGTATATCCCTACAGACACATGCAGACATTCGCATGCGATGAACGAAGACCCAAAATTCGTTCCTCCTGGCTGGCTGGCTGGCTGGGCGGGCGGGGGGAAGGCGGCTGTCTGCGTGCGAAATCACCGACACCAGCCAGACACTACATACATATGCAGACGGACAAGACAAATACAGACAGCTAATTGCAAAGGGCAGCAGCAGCAGTACACAGGAAAGAGACTTTGCCACCAGGATGGGATGGACAGATGCTATCTATCTATGAAAAGGGAAGGCAAGTACGGATGCACCACACACACGCACACACACAAGGCAGTCAGTTATCATGCTGTCAGTACTGTACCCAACCACCAGAGCCCTCTGACGAAAATGGGCGCATCCGGTGGCCGAGCTGAGATGTGTGTAAGACCAGAAGGCCCCAGTGTAGCCCACCCGTGTGGATGCTCTGTGTGTGTGTGTGTCTATATATGTGTGTGGACACCAACAGGGGAGGGAGACACAAATATCGCATCTCATTTGATTGCGTCGCGATCATTGCGATAGGTAGCTGCCGATCTGACAACGGCCGGCAGGCAAAGAGAGAAGAGACAGACAGATGGGCGTGCAGGTCTTTGATGGGCGTAGTTGCGATGCTTGCCTGTACGTATGGGGGTGCATTCGTTGGATATGCCTGGGGTGGCTCAGCAGTCTTCGTCGAAGGTGTCGGGGTCGCTAACGGTGCCATCACGGCCCAGCGTGATGCGGGCTCTGTTATTTCTGTTTCCACCCACACAACACGACGCACACGCACACACGAAGCCATATCAGGCCCTCCTGTTTCTGTGTGTGTGTCTGATCACTGACCTGCCCAGCCCAAACTCGGCGCCGTCCACGAATCCGGGGTCGCCCTGAAATAAATGAGTGACAGAGCAGATGAAAAGGTGCCTGCCTCTTGTCTGTGGCCGGCTCGGCTGCCTTTCCTTCCCTCCCTCCCTCCCTATCTCCCTCCCTCCCTCACCGCAAGCAGAGTGCACCGGCGCTCCGTGAGGAGTGTGCACTGGTCGATGGTCCCATCCGTGTCGAACCCGTTGAACCACGTCCCCTCCGACGGAGGGATGCCAAGACCCCAGAACCTATTGCCACACGCACAACACACATGCAGCACCGATATGCTGTGCACCGAACAGCTGTGTGTAGTGCCGCCTACCTTCTGCCGGGACAGTCCCTTGGAAAGGCGCCACGGGCGATGTTGTAGGGGCGGAAAGGCTGGGCCACGCAGATTTTGTCCGTGTCGCTGCCACCCCGCTCGAGCAGGATGGCCGTGTCGCCGATGCCGTTGCTCACGTTATTGCCATCGCCGATCTTACGATCCCCCGCTGACACGAACACAGACACAAACGCACAGGCACACGACAGCAGACACACAGACACCAGACAGACAGACAGACATGGCGGGGTTGGGGGCTGGGGTCTGTGTCGAGTGTTGGCTGCCCACCGATGTCGAACCACACGACGACTCGTTTTCCATCGCCCTCCACAACGTCGACAACACGAGTCTCACCCGGCCGGACACGGAAGAAACCTGACCCACAACACACATGGCAGCACAGCAGCCAGACCAACTGTAAGTAAAGAGGTGGATGTGATGTCCTCCCGCCTGCCCGCCGGCCAGCTTACCGAGGTGGTACTGCGTGTCATTGTCCTGGATGGTGACGCGGACAGCCTGTAGGGGGAGGGAGGGAGGGAGAGGGTAGAGTAGAGAGGGGAAGGAAGAAGGGAAGAGTAGAGAGGGGAAGGAAGAAAGGAATGTGATGTGACTGACGTGTTGGTGTGGTGTTTCGTGGTGTGTTGGATGGTATGTATGGTTGGATGGCTGCTTACGAAGCTGACGGTGGTTGAGCCGCACTTGTTGCGGACGGCAATCCTGCTGCCGTCGGGTTCGTCGTCCTGCTTGGGTCCATTCTGCTCGTGCTCGGGGCCCAAGTACTCCAGGCGGGCAGAGATTTTCCCCTTAAAGGGGTTGGTGAACTCGAAGTCCCACGAGTCGATGAGGGGCAAAGCTGGAGGCTGGTGGCTCATGACTGCACCGCACCAGACACAACACAAAGGCAGGCAGACAGGCAGGACCATAACCAGAGAGACACGTGTACGATGATGCTGAGACACATCTGTCTGTCTGCCTGTCTGTCCGTGGCTGGTTGACGTACGTGTGCACTCCTTGGGTCCGACGATGCCCTCTCCCCCGAAGGAGAGTTTGCTGCCCTTGGCGTTCGTGAGGAGGGCGCAGGACTGCTCCTCCTTGTGGCTGAAGGCGAAGAAGGAGCACTCCTCCGCCTCAGCGCAGGCGAGGCGACACGCGTGCGGGGATTTGTGGGCTTCCTTGGGCAGCTTGAGGTTGTTCACCTTGGCCTTCGGGTTCACCTCCACCACGGCGCGAGACACCCACTCGTGGCACCAGCTGGCGTGAGGGTCCTTCTCAGCGGTGGAGCTCTGCTGCTGCTGCTGCTGCTGGGCAACAGCGGCGCTCAGGCAGAGGGAGAGGATCAGCGCCAAGACCTTCATGACGATCAAGAGCGGCTGTGTGCGGTGAAGGAAAATTCTCGAGAGAAAGAAAGCTTGGCGGCAGGCTGTTTTGCTGGAGCGCGGCGATGTTCGAAACGCTCGACTGCAGTTATAACGGCGGGGCCACTATTCTCCTGCGGTTGGCACTTCCGTTTCGTGTCGCCCTCTCTAACCTCTTCCTCTCTGCGAGCTTATTCGTCGGAGAACGAGGAGGAAGGACAAACGGAGAGACAGACACAGACATTGGAAATTTAAGCCGGACTGGCAGATCTTGGACCCAACGCGTCATAGCAATAAGCAGATGAACCTTGGAGGAATGAAGTTGTTCAGCACCTCGTCGTCGAGCAAGAAGGACAAGAAGACCGTCACGATCAAGGATGACATGTCCGTCGTGTCGGAACCGGTCAACTACAGCGAAGTCGGCGACCTGCGACAAGCAAAAGGTAGGCGGGCGGACATCTGGCTCCATTCGTCGGAGTGGCTGACGTGTTTGCTCTTCGTGTGGTGATGTCTGTGTGTGTGCTGGGTAGATCTCGTTGCGCAACTGCAGATTGAGAATCAGGCGCTGCAGGAGGAGCTTGACGACCAGCGCGAGACTTCGGCGCGCAACAAGACGCTCCTGGAGGAGCAGGTCAAGCTCGTCGGCAGCCTCAACAAAGAGATGGAGCACCTCCACAAAGCATCCACCAGATCTGTGTAAGTAAGGACAGGCGAGAGAGCAAGCAGACCAAGCACCCAATGTGCGATGTGATGTGTGCGTTTGTCCATCCATCTGTCTGTCAGTGAGCATGAGTCTGAGCTCGAGATGCTGCGTGCGGAGAGTCAGCATCTGAAGCGCCTGCTACAGGAAAATGAAGACAGCGAGAAACAGAGGTAGGTATCCGGAGCCACCAAGCAGCCAGGAAGGCGATCGTGATTGTGCACTCTCTTGTCTATCGTCCACCCTCCGTCCACCAGGCGCGAGGAGCTCAATTCCATCACCAGAGAACGGGACAACCTAAAGGTGGGCGTGCACTGCACAACCGCGGCTCGTACACAAACAGGTATCCGTCTTCTGTCACAATCGTCTGTCTCAGGCAGCGCTGTCCGCTGGTCCGGAGGGCAACAGGTACTTACTTAGTCACTGTCTGCGACGCGACCACCCACTAACACATACGAGAAGCGAGCGACACGACCTTTACTTACACGATGGATTCGATTCCTGTTTTCTCTGTTGGTTAAAACAGTGCTGCTGAGGTTGCACATTTGCGTGAGATGGTGTCTGACTTGGAGGAGCAGCTGGCGCAGGGGACGGCACAGGACAAGGCGCTCGAGGGGGAGCTGGAGAGGGAGCGGGGCAAGGTCAAGGAACTGCAGCTTGCACTCGCCGCCAGCACCGCAGCAGCACACGCAGCCACAACCGACAGGTGCCTACACAGGCAGGCAGGCTGGCAGGCAGGCGCAATACCAGCCAATCCATTCATGTCATTTTTTTCTGTATTTCTGTGGCTTGTGTGTGTTGTGAGCAACAGTGGTGATGCGGAGGAGATAGCGAAGCTTCGTGACCAGGTCAAGAAGCTCGAGGACCAGCTGGCATACGAGCTGAATGAGGACCCCAGGTACGTACGTATAGCCATGGGGGATGCCCACTGCACTGCACTGCACAGGCACAGGGACCGATCGCTGTCTCCGCACCCGTGTGTGTGGCATGTGCTCAGGCGTGGGGACATATCGTCGCTTCAGGACCAGGTGGCTGACCTGGAGGAGCAGCTCAAACAGCTCCAGGACGAGAACGAAACACTCCGACGCAATGACACGTAAGCTGCCCACAGTACAAGAAGACCAGCAAGACAAGACGTTCAGCCTTTCACTGACCGACCACTGAACTGAACTCGTTTGGGGATGGCTGTCTGCCAGAGGTGCTGCACCGGAGCCGGGGTAAGGCAGTAGGGAAGGGCCCGCCATCCCACCTTGTCGACAGGCAGACAACACAACACGATCAGCTGGCACTTGTTCTCCTGTTAAATGTTCCAGGGCCATCCGGGAGCTGCAACGAGAGATAGAGGAGCTGCGCCAGGCCAACAGCGACAAGTGAGCAGCCGTTCCTGCACTGCCGACATCGATTCCATACACACGTGCTCTTCATTTGACGAACGTCTCTCAGGTCAGCACGCATCGAGGAGCTTAGCGCGCAGCTACAAACGACAAAGCTGTGAGCGATGGCACTCACTTCACAAAGACGGCGTGGACGCGCCAGTGTGTGTGTGTGTGTGTGTGTATCTATGTCGCTCTCCCTTTTGACAGGCACGGCATGGGCGGCGGCAGCGATCCCTCTCAGCCGGACAGCAAGGAGGCCTTCAGATGGCAGCGAAAGCTCGACGAGAAGGACCAGCTCCACCAACAAGAAATGTATGTGACCTCATCACACACGCACAGCGCGAGACGCAAAATCATGCACCGCCTTCTTTCTCTCCCTTCGTGTGCCTCCACCAGGCGCAAGGTCGTGCAGTCGTACGAAGAGCAGCTCCGCACTCTACGGGAGCAGCAGGGCACACAGCCACTGCCCAACGCCCACGGCCCCGCTGACACCGACACGGCCAGCGAGGTGCAGCGGCTCCGTGGTGAGGTGGCCGAGAAGGACCGTACGATAGAGGAGCTGACGGACCAGATGCTGAATCTGACAGAGGAGCTGCAGATGGTGAGGGTGGAGGGTGGGTCGTCGCCCGGCGGGGAGATGGAGGGCGAGGTGGCCGGCGAGATGAACCAGGCACATGATGAGATGAAGCACAAATTGGAGGAAGCCGTCACCGAGAAAAACAGAGCCATCAAAATGGTACGGGGGGGCGACTGGACTGACAGGAAATGAGCAAAGGAAGGGAGGGCACTGTGGTGAATTGCATCTGGTGTGCCCGATGTGGCGGCATGGATGGATGGATGGATGGATGGCTGCAGCACGAGGCGGCCGTGGCCGAAAAGGAGCGGCTGGAGCGTGTGGTGGCGACACTACAGGTACACAGGGGCACACTACACACACCCTCAGTCCTTTCACCCCACCCGCCCCCCTGTGGTCCGTGCGCACGTGCCTGCAGGCGAGTGAAGCGGCGACCAACAAAAGCCTGCGAGACATGGGCAAAGTGTCCACAAGTAGGCCACCGGGCTCACGACGCTGTCCTCAGCCTCGCACGCACCAACACACCCCTCCCCTCCCTGCACTGCATGTCTGCTTGGCTGTCCGCGTGGGCTTATGCGTAGACTTCGACTGGGGCAGTGACGTGGAGCGTCTGAATCGCGAGATCAACGTGCGGACCCAGACGATCCGTCAGCTGTCGGTCAAGAACGCCCAGCTCGAATCGGCCATCGCCCAGCTGTCCAAGGGGGCCAGGACGCCAATGCTCAACGGAGACGACCGGGACAAACAGAAGCTAGAGGCACAAGTCATCCAGGCCAAGGTCAGTGACACCTGGGCACTTGTCGGGATTGGATTGGACAGGTGACTTTTGTAAGTTGTGACGGGATGGCTGCATGTGTGTGGACACAGGGCGAGCTCAAAAGCGTTAAAGACGAGCTTGAGTACTACAAGACCGAGGCCAGGAAGGCACACAACGCACTTAAGGTAGCAGGGCCGAGACGAGACGAGACGAGACGAGACGAGATGGATGGTGTATGTGTGGCTTGGTTGGTTAAAATATCCGTCTCATCTACCTACCGATCAGGAGCAGAGCGAACGATCCCAGGCGACATTGGCCAAGGTCAAGAGCGAGATCGACGGATACGCAAAGCTGCTCGCCGCCAGCACATCCACTGTCGACAGGCTGCAGATGGCACTCAGCGACTCCAAGCACAAGTGAGGGATGGGATAGAGTCGATCGGTCGAACAGGGACAGGGCCACCCACCTACTCACCCACACAGCCATGTCACAGCCACGCACCGCCCCACTCTGCTGTCTGTGTGTCCTTCCACCACTCAGGCACAGCGAGGACGTCAAGCGGCTGCAGGCAGACCTCCACAGCCTCGTCAAGTACAGGAGCAACCTGGTGGAGCTCACCAACACCTTCTACGCGGGCAACCTGCAGCACGCAGAGGACACGCCCATTCACGCGGACCAGGTATCATCCTCCCACCCAAGCGCCGCGAGCAGCCCAGCCGCTTGCTCATGATCATGAATATGTTTGTCTAAATGCAGGAGGCCCTGGAGAATGCAGTGAATCAGCTGATGGCAACGGGCGTGCGCAAGCAAGCTCCAGCAGCTGTCCACCGCTCGGCCCCCCCTCCCCCACAGGCAGCCGAGGAATGGTCGCCATCGGCACCCAGTGGGTGGGATGGGATGCGCATCGACGTCGGCTTGCATCACCGGCCATACGCCAAAAGAGAGGACGACAGCCCCAGCCGCGAGGTCCGGTTTGGTGCTCAGACGACGGGCACTCAAGAGTGGGGCTCGCCCTCTGCGGAGTCTCAGAGCAGGGGGCAGGGCAGCAACGAGGGGGACGTGCGGTGATGTGATGGACGCTTGGGTTGGGCTGGGTGTGTATGGGTGGTGCGTGTGTCGGTCGGAGGGCAGCCATCTGTTCGTATGGTGGTGGTGCTGCGTAATTGAGAACGAGTGAATGAGTGGATGGCTGCATGCATTGTATGCTTGTGAAAGACCCCGGCGTGTGCCGGTTGATATGTATGTGTGTGTCTTGTGGTCATGACTCTCGTCAGTGTTTTGATCTGATCTACTGACGAACGAATGGTTCCTTCACGACACGACACGACACGACACGACACGACACGACACAGCCAGCCAGCGTCATGATGGTGTTGTGTTGTTGCCTCACACGCAACTGCAGCAGAGAGGAAAACGCTCTCGCTCACATGTTGAAAGCTCCCTCCCTCCCTCCCAGTCAGTACACACACAAGGAGGATAGAAGGGAGGCACTGTCTGCTCTTGTCCGGACATGCGCACGTCAGGTCAGACGCACAAACGGCAATCATTGTACGTACAGCCACACACCACACTCAACCGCATAGCCTGCCATGGGCTTCCCTTCACCCACGCGCAACTGCACCCCCTCCCTCCTCCCTCCCGCCCGCCCGTCGAAAGAATTCCCTCACATGATCCGTTTCCCACCGCGCACCTGTGGCACACCTCTGACAATCAGTCAGAAATTGTCTCCGCGTCTCTCCTGCACCACACACGCACACACACAGAAACACAGCCAATCAGCACCGACATGAGAGGCTGTAGCTGTGACGCTGTTTGTTGGCCTTTGTGCAGTGTGTGTAGTGTGGTGTAGTGTGATGTCGTTGCAGCTCAGCTTACATCGAGCCAGTTCTCTATCTCGGCCCTGACCCACTTGTATCCCGGGATGAAGATGAGGAGCAGAAACGCGGATACGGCGGCGAACGGAAAGTAGAAGTTGGTGATGTACGTACCGATGCGCACGCCAATCGCACCGCTGCCGTACGAACTCAGGCGCTTCCCCGACGTGTGCACGAAACGCGGAGCAGACGCCTGGACCAGACGAGCGCCGCTCAGGTGCAAAGCACCCAGCCGGGCAGCCGGAGTCAGACGCAACATCTTTGGTGGAGGTGGTTGGATCAGATTATCCCAGGGTCTCGAAAACCCAGGACCCTGCAAACCCTTGCGATTGGATGGCCACACACATTGGATGAATCCATTTATTTATTGGGTTGTACAAGTAGTCCGACAATTGTCATCGGTGTGCACACACAGTGAGTGGGACGGACACGCACTAGAAAACGCGAGCACTCTCTCGGGCCATCACACCACCGGGCAAACTCATACCATGTATGTATGTTGTATTGTATTCACACACACATGCGCATGACATGACATGGGCTGTCGGCCTTTTCGGTCGGACCTCGACGGCCAGTGCTCGCTTCAGCAAAAATACACACACGCGTGCACAGAGACAGACAGACATGCAGCACATACAAGCTCGACTGCCTCTCTTCCTCTCTCCCCCGCTGCACACACACACACACACACACACACGCGCGCACACAATCCCTCGACCAATAGATACACCCACCGACACACACGTGACACATGCATGGCAGGGAGGGAGGCCAGAAGGCATGTGAGACAGGAGCGGAAAAATGGCGGATGGATCCCGCATAGTTTTCCGCTATCCACATAGCCACGTGCTGCTTGAAAACCTCCCCGCCACTTGCGCCGCCCTTTCAGAGAGAGAAAGAGAAAGAGAGCACGACACAGAGGCAGAGAAGGGAGCACGACAGAGGCAGAGAAGGCGAGACGATGAGTCGACGTGCGGGCAGTAGCCAAGACTTCATCCAAAAAGAAAGACAGACGCATCCATCCATCCATCCATCAATCCATGGACAAGAGGGCCTCTACAAATAGCAACAGAGGCTTGAGCACTCGACGCCCCGCCCAAGCATGTCGGTGACTGACTGACTGACGGACGGACGGACCCTCTTAGCGAGACAACCACACACTGCAAGCCCCCCTCCCCCAACCCCCTCCCTCCCCCAATCCCCTCCATCCCTCCCCCCATATATTAGCCAGCATCCCACCCTACTAGTCGAGTCGACCACCCATCCGTCTGGGCGTCTGAGAGGGGACCAATCGATCGATCGACACGGGCTCGAGGGAAAAACGCACTGAGAGCCAAAAAACGGTCATGTCATCATCATCATAAAGGAAATTGGCCACCGTAGACACGCAGCGACACTCTCCACAGCTTGTGCGTGTTGCACCCCACACGCACATCACACCCCCACCCACACACACATGGTGAATGCACTCACACAATGACAAACACGACAGGGTACAAAACAAGACACGAGGCAGCCTAGTTCGCTGGTCATTCATTGACTCCTTCACACCCTCGCCCTTTTGACAATTCCCGGCAGCACCAGATGCCGGGCAGGGCCAATGGCTATGTTGCCCGAACCAATCCGTGTGATGATCGGCTCTATAGGGCGTGACCCGCAGGGCTCGGGCGATGCCGGCTGCGAGCTGGGCTGGGGCGACGCCTGGCTGGACGCCTCGTCCCCCCTCTCCTCCTGCTCATGCTCCTGTTCCTCTTCCTCCATGATACGGCCAAACAGGTTGAGGCCGCGAGCGTGCAGGATGACGTTGCGGGGGGGCGGGGGAGGCGACTGACACATCGAATACGCCCGGGGAAGCAGCGCGGTGGCCGGCCGGGAGGCCCCATCCCCGCTACTGGGGCTGCTGCCACGGCACGCTGGCGACGCCGGCTGGGTGAGCACACCCGGCACCTCCTTGACGTTGGATCGGGGCGCCACAGCTCGTCCCAACTCCCGGCCGCCCGTCTGTCGTCGTTGAAGCGCCCGGCCGCCCGTCTGCCGTCGTTGAAGTAGACTGGAGCTGGCCTTGGGGGCCCTGGCCATCAGCCCGTGGGTCTCGTCATGCTCGTCAGGCTCACTCTTGGCCGCCTCGTCCTCACTGTTGGTCGGAATGAGGCTATTCTGGGCTCTGAAGTGGACCGAGCCCTTGCTGTCCGACGGCCGCACCTCCGTGGCGGCCGTGTCGATGTGCGGGACGCCAGCGTCGCCCTCATTATTGTTTTGTGGGGCCGGGGGGCCGGACGATGTGGCCGACGACATGGTGTTGGTTCTGGTGAGAGAGCGGTGTGGCGGGTGGTGCACGGAGGAGACGACAGTGGACTGGGTGCTGATGCCTCGGCGAAGGGCGAGGGTGCGGTGGCTGAGGGGGCTGCTCAGACAGACCGTTGTGGGCGTGGGGGGATGGGGCATCAGCGGCATAGCATTGCCTTGAAACACACACACACGCGCAGCGATGTCGGTTGGTTGTGCTATGGTGCGTCTGTCTGTCAGTGCCTGCCCACCTGGCGGAGTGGCAATGGTGGATGCGCTGCCTCTGCTGGTGGACGACAGGTCCCAGTTGGCCTTGCGAGAGAGGAAGTAGGCAACTGCGGAGTGGGACACGCACCAGCGACGCAGCGACGGCCGCACCAGCTCGCCCACCAGGTGCTGGCCCTGGTACTCCACGAGCACGTTAGCCACGAGTGTCTTCCAGATGCCGTCCCTTTCGCAGTCCTCAGAGCGCCCGCAGGTGTCGGGTTTTGCGAGGATTACCTCCTTCTCGCAGCCGAAGAACCTCGACTTGCGGATGACCACCTCCACCACATCATCGCACCGCCACCGCTTCACGATGTCACGAGCCTCACCCACACGGAAGTACTGCACACAGCCGTTAACAGACGGAAACAAACGTGTGAATTCTCTGGCTGGCTGGCTGGACGGGTGACGTCAATGTGCTCACCACAGGCATCGGTTTCCCCCGGTAGATGAGTTTGTAGAAGGCCCGTTTTGGCTTGACCCACTCGATGGCCCAGCCCGCCACCTCCTCCTCGGTCTTGTTCTGCCCCTTGCCGTTGCGCAGCCGTGCGATACCCTTGACGACTATGGACACGGTGGCGACGCTGCTGGGGGGGTGGGTGGGGGAGGGAGGGGGTGAAGAGGACGGCGTGACGCCACTGATGTCCGAGTGGGGCGTGACGGGGGCCTTCTGGGGCGTTGACGGCGACGGGACAGCCATGATGGAGCGACCGACGTCCTCGATACAACAGCTGTTTGTATGTGTGAAGGAAGAAACCCGCAATGAATGAATGGATGGATGGCGTCACAGTGGATGATGAATCTCTGTCTGTCTGTCTGTCTGTCTGTCTGTCTGGTGCTGGACTGACCTGAAGTCTGCAGTCCACCCGAGGACGGCTTCGTTAGCTTCGGCCTCCCTCTCCTCCTTGGTGATGGGCAGGTCCTGACCCCATTTGGTGCCCTTGCACTCCTCCTCCCACAAATCCACAAACTCCACGCTCCCTCCCGGCGCCACTCGAGCCTTGGCGTGTGTGAGGATGCCCCTGCCCTTCTTGACGTGCCACCGCGCCTTCCTGCTGGCCGACATCTTGCCGTGCTTGCAGCCGTGTACGGTGAAGAGCGGCTTGTGCGTGAGGTGGGCGCAGATGTCGATGGCGTCAGGGATGTCCTCAGACACCGACAGGCACAGGTGGGAGGGAAAGCACTCGTCAACCGAAACTGTCGACGTGGCCGCCTGGGAGATGGCGGTTTGGGGTCCATCCTTCCTGCGGCTCTGTGAGCAGCCCATTGCGCGGGCTCCCGTGGCAGCGTGAGCTCAGTCTCAGCGGTTTCACGGAGTCAGAAATCGCGAGCTGCAGAGAGTGACGGCCGCGTCTTCCCGCTTGAGGGCGCCTGCCGCTTGAGGGCGCCGCCTGCTCACACGACCAAATACTTGGGACCGCAGCTGTCTCGAAGAACCCTGTTGAGCATGTGGCATCGGCTGCCAATGGCACTCGTGGTAGTCGTAGTGGGAGGCGGGAGCGCCCTGGTCTATGCGGTCGTCACCTTGACGGGCCTCATTCCCCCTTCGCTCTATGCGACAGCCCTGCTGGTCGTCGTTTCTCTCACGTCCATCAAGGCACAGACAGCCGCCCAGCCATCTGCTGCTGATGTGGCAGCCCTGAGGCGCAAGCTGGCCCGACGGCAGACGCCAAGCAGCGACAAGGCCACCCCGCCTGCCGCCCCGGTGAACGACGACCTGATCCGTCGCAGTCGGGACGACACCTTTCTCGACGACTACGGTCAGCTGGGTCAGGTGCTGCGGTCGCTCAAAGCCCTCGTGCTGCGGGACTTTGTGGAGTCATGGTACTCGATGGTGTCGATGGACGACCAGCGGGAAGACTCTGATGGGGCTGACAGGTACGTACGCGAGAACAGACCTGTGGAGATGTTTATCTGGAACTGCTGTGTCTGTCGTGTGCCGTTGGTTCAGTGGCAACGATCGTGACGACGGCCCCTGGAGCAGTGACCCCTTCCTGTCCCATCTGGGCGGCGTCTTCAATACGGTCCTCTTCAATCTGACCCAGGCCGGCCCAAGGCTCAACCGCCAGTCGTTCATCCTGCGGCAGACGCTGTCGATCTTCACCCAGCACTTCCGCCACTTCCGAGCTGTCAGGCAGCGGGCCAGGCGGGTGGCGTCGGCATCGAGAGCCAACACCGGCGACGTGCAGCGGACCATCGATGAGCTGATTGTGGCCGAATGGGACAGGGCCGCAGTGGGAGACAAGCGGGGCGGCGCGGGTGTGAAGGGGGCCGGGAGGCTTCATGTGGCTGCGTATGGGGAGGAGGAGCAGCTGGAATATGCGCGGCTGGTCTGCAGGTGGGATCTAATCCACGCCACGATACGCTGCAGATGAAACACATGACTGGTTCATCTGCCCTCTGTCGCAACTTGCTCTGTCGTGTGTCAATATCGGTGTGTCAGGTCGATAGTGGGGGACTTGCTTCGCGGTGACGGTCCCGTTGTTTCTCGGGAGTCATCGGCATCGAGCGTCAGCGGCACTCTGTCGGGCGACGCGCGGTGCTCGCCCCTTGTGCAGCAGCTGGTCGCCGAGATAGTAGCGCAGAACATCGTCATCCCTCTCGTCGCTGCATGTGGTGAGCAAATCCGGAAATGCGAGTGACCCCTGAGTTTCCTTTTCTTCATTCGGTGCCATGGTTGGTTCATTCCCTTGTCTGCAGACGGTTCATATCTGGAGGACTACCTGATCACCCTGCAGGAGGAGCAGCAGCAGCTCCGCCCTCCCCCACCCCTCCCAGGCCTCACTCGCAGCCTCTCTGCCAACCACGCCGACCAGCCCCCCACAAGCACAGCCACGGGCTTCTCCACCGGCATATTCCAACTGCTGGGCCTCACGCGCCTCAGTGGCGCCGGCGGCTCCTTCATGGCCATGGACACGGGCAGCAGCAGCGGCTGCTGGACGCACAGCAACAACTCTCCCGACCGGCGTTCGAGGGCAGTGTCAGAGATGGCATTCCCGGCCAGCGCGGTGCCCCCTCTGCCCCCGCCCGCAGCGCCCCCCACCACGCCGCTCTTCCCGATGCCATCGATGGTCGACTCGCCCGACGAGCAGAGCGATGAGGCGGCCGTGAGGGCTGGAGAATGGGACATGCAGACACCCGAGCATGACGATTGCACGTGCCCGGAGGTGTGTCCCTGTTCCGAGCACGGCGACCAGCCGGCAGAGGGAGACAACAAGGGGGCCAAGGCGGAGGTGCTGGCCTCGTCGTCGTCGGCATCGTGGATGGGGTCCGTCACGCAGCTGTTTGCTTCATGGGCTCCATCGGCATCGACCACAGCTGCTGCAGGGACGGCGTCTCAGCCGACGAGTGGCGGTGATGCGACGGACGCCCCTGCTGCCGCTGCTGGTCCGACAGCCCCCGTGCAGCCCCGGCTGTCGTCCCCCATCCCTCCCCTCCTGAGCACGCTCCAGACGCTCCTCCCACTCAAGGCACAGCCACCCGCCCCTTCGTCCCTCCGGCTGTTCCGGATGCAGGAAGTGCGAGAGAAGCTCGCCATGCTGCTGCGGACCAGACCTCCCCTCGCACAGCTGCAGGCCGCCGGCGTCCATCGATGGCCTTCACGCGACTTCCGGGCGTCGGTGGTGGCCTTCACGCGCGTGAGCAGTTTTGTGGACCCTCATGTGGAGTTCCACGTGCGGGTGCACACGAGCAGCAAGGAGTGGGTGGTGTTGCGACGGTACAGCGAGTTCAAGCGGCTCTATGCGGCACTCGTGCGGGCACATCCAAGCGTGCGTGGGGGATTGAGGGTGCCTGGGAGACATCCGCTGCAGAGATTTTGGCACCCGAAGCAGGCGGCCGTGAGGAGGGGGCAGGAACTAGAGGACTTCATGCAGGTGCGGTGTGTATGCAAGGCAGAGATCCACTGAAGTCGCCTGCTTTTCCCCTTATTCCTTGCTTGTGTGTATGTGGTATGGGTCAGGCGTTGCTGAGTCATCCCCTGCTTGGCGGCTCCCCTCCGTGTGCCGAGCTGTGGCGGTTCCTCTCCGCCACGCCCAGCGACGTGCGCATCGCTATGGGTTCCAAGCCGCCCAACACCATTCCCCTCACACACGCCACACACCACCTGCCGCCACTGCTAGAAACGGCTGAGGCTGAGGCGGATCACAATGAGGCCACGTCGCCAGTAGCCAGCCAGGACGTCGCCAAGCACGAGCAGCAAGGGGGGGCGGACACGGCCAACCACGAAGGGCAGGAGTCGGTGTCGTCTCCCGCGTGCGACTCGCTGCGTGGGCTCCCCTTGGGGTGCTCGTCATGTAGCGTGTCTGGTTCGGAGAATCATGACGGCGGGAGGCAGCAGGTGGTGGGCGGTGTCTACAGCGAGGGCTACGACAGTGACGGCAGCTTCGTCGTCATCACCATGCAGGACTTCCCCAGTGTGTCGGCTCCCACGCCCCAAGGGAAGCGGCAGTGGCCGCACCCGTCGTCATCCGAAGCCAGCACGCTGCCAGAGAGCCCACCACTGCACATCATCGCATCGTCAATGACCTGCTGCCCGCCCGAGGCACCCCTCCCCCCGCCCCCGCCGTCATCCCCTGTGGCCAACCCATTGGCCAGCCCCACCGGTGTGCCGCTGTCGACGTGGAGTGTCAAGGAGGACCCCATGGGCACACCCCCACACACGTCGCCCCTACCCCTGGACCGATCGATGTCTGAGAGCGACCATCTGTCGCGTGTGGGCGGAGCCCTCACGCCCCCCGACTCGCCGCTGGCCGCACCAGTGAGGGGCACGATGCCCCTTTCGTACTCGTTTTCGTCTGTGTCGTCGACCAGCACGAGTGACCCGGCCGCTTCGTCGGAGAGGGAGGGCGGTCTGGGGGTTGGTGTGGGTGACGCGAGGGGCCGCTTCACATGCTCTTCGTCGTCATTTGACTTCGACCTGGTGCACGATCTCGAGGACGGCGATCCGGATATACTCACCAAATGGCTCCGGGTGAGACACACGACACACATGGTCCGGGAACGGTCGGTGAACGCACTCTCTCTCTGCCTCTGTAATTCATTCAGGTTTTGGAGGCTCGTGAGCTTCAAGTAGACGATGTGGAGGAGAAGCTGATGCTGGTCGAGTGGCAGCGGGCTCTAACGTGTCGCGAGAGGTTTCTCTACAAGAAGGAGAAGTCGCTGTTGAGGCTGCAGCGGTCCCACCAGCCCCTGCATATGTCGCCCTCCATGCCGTCCTTCCCGCCATCACTCGTGCGGAGCGCATCGGCGTCTGACGGCCATCGGGACATATGCGGGATGGCTGGCGTGCCGTCGCCCTACACCAGAGACCAGCTGAGATACGCGCGACATCAGCTCGGGAGACGAAAGGTGAGTGGCTGCACTGCACATGAGGGGAAGTGGTGACTGTGATATGCGCACTCGTTGTGTGGGTGATCTATGTTGCCTGCCTTTGCAGCGTCTCCGTCAGCGTGAGCGTGTGCTCAAGCGCCGCGAGAGGTCCCTGATGGCGCGGCAAGCGGCCTACGTGTAAGCCCAGAGGCGTACGCACCTCAATCTCGAGAGACTGCCTTCCTTTCCTGTCTGTCTGTCTGTCTGTCTGCAGGAGCCAGCTGGAGGCGCAAGACCCCTCTCTCCTCAACCCCCTCTTCGCCCTTTTGGAGGAGATCTTCGCCATCCCGCAAGCCACACGCGGCGCCCACGCTTTCACCACTGGGAGGTCTGCCAACGACAGCCAGCGGACCATCCGGCTGCTGACCCTGCACCAGCTGGCCTTCCAGTTGCTAGCTGCCGTCGTCAAGGCGCCTATCAGCCGCCTTGTCCGCAGACACCTCGTCCTATGGACTTCTCAGCACTCTATCGGGCGCCTGCTGAGCCAGTGTAAGGAGGTCTTGTGGCCCAGGGGAGCGACGTTTCGGCCGCCGGTGGTGTCACCGGCCGCCGATGAGAGGGCAGCGGTCAAGGGGCGGAAGCTGTCGCTTGGCCAAGCGAGGGACATCTTGCATCAGTGTGTGGTGCCCGAGTCGGTCGTCACGCAGCGCGTCATCAGCCGCCAGGCGGTGGTCGAGGGCATTCTCGACGTGTACGAGTTTGTGACCCACCCCGTGCTGCTGACCAACCTGGCCTTCCACGTCTTTGACTGCCTGGTCGCCACGCTCTTCCCCCACCTGACCCCACACCTGTTCGTCTTCGCACACCGCCCGAGGCAACAGGACGACAACAGTTCGACCTCTCGCTCATTCGATGGCCGGCGTGACATATTCCCGTCTCCCTCCCCATCCCTTACCCCGTTCCATCCCCCAACATTCGGCGCTGGCCGTGGGAGACGACACCGACTCATGCCCTCCGTTGTTGGCCATCGGGAGCACCGCGTTGTGCGTCGGCAGCGGCAGAAGGGCCAGGATGGCCCGACAAGAGACGACAGTAGCAGCAGTGGCGCCAAGGAGGAGGAGAGGGGCGATGACAACGTCGTAGCAGCATCGGTGGCGGCAGATAGAAGCAGCAGGGAGCGTGGAGGGGCTGCCGCGGAGACTTGCAGTGTGGTGGACAGGGAGGGGATCGGAGGAGGTGACGCCAGTCTCCAGTACGTCACCTCCAGGTGGATGCCCTTCTGAGAACGTCGGTCGATCGATCGATCGATGTGTATGATGGCCGCGAGCCCTGCCTACCTCTACTTCTGGCGCATGTATCTCTACCCGTCTGTGTTCCTCTCTCTGGCTGTCTGTCTGTCTGTCTGTCTGCCCGTATATGTGTGTGGGTATGTGTGTATTCTTCAATTTTGTGATGCTTGATCGGCTGATGTCACGTTCTGTCTGTCTGGATGGCTTGCTTGCTGCGAGTGGTCACGATTTTTGTCTGCATTGGAGCGGGCGGGGGGGGAATCCTGGAGAGATGATGATCTGAGTCACTCACTCACCACTCATGAGGGTATCGATACGGATGCTGCTGTAGCTGTGTACACAAAAAGCAACAGGGGAGAGAGAGAGCAGGGTCGTTTTGTTGAAGTCACCCATCGATGGGGGCTGTCTACCTGTAGCTAGCTATCCTGATATCTAAGCCGATGTAGTTTACTCACTCGCTCAACACGCACGCTCTCCCACTCGCCGATTGATTCATCCGATGGATGTCACTCTTTTCTCTGTTGCCCTAGTCCCTGAGCTGTCCTTCCTCTTGTCCGATGTCTGTCTGTATACGTGTGAGAGGTGTGTGTGTGTGTGTGTCGATACACATGTCTTTCTCATCCTTGCCTGCTCCCTGCTGATGTTTGTCCGCTGCATCCATCTGGATCCATCCGACCCTACACGGATGTCTGTCTGTCTGTCTGTCTCTGCATATCACATGCGCGCCACACGTATACCAATGAAGGCGTCTCGGATATATGATCAGGCAAGTGTCGTGTGTACAGAGAGAGGAGGGGGGGCAGGTGTCTGTCCGTGTGTCCGTGTGTATATACATTTGTGTATGGGACGAGCGGAGCGGAGAGGCCGGCGAGGGGAGAGAGCTGCTGCAGTGCAAGTCAACGGGTTGCGGTGGGGTGGGGTGTATTCGGTGCGTGTCATATGAGAGAATGACGGTGCCGAGAGGTCTGTGAGGGAATGTATGGCGTTTATGCATACCCACGAGAGTCGTCACTTCAGGTGAGTGAGTGAGTGCACATATGTTTTCCCTTTTCGTCCATCGTTGCTCTTGTTGCATGCCCGCTCACGACGGACATCATTATAATTTACTTGGCCTTTGTGCCGACGTGACGGACGTGATGATTTTTACTTGGAGAGACAGAGTTGGCCCTGCCACGCGTGCGTGCATGCCTGCGTGTATGTATGTATGTGTTTGTGTACGGAGATCTTCCTGCTGCTGATGGCTGGCTGGCTGTCTGATGCTCAATTATTGATTCGATGTATCTGACCGCTTTTGCTCACGCATGCTGCCCGCCTACGACGGACACGCCCAGGCAGGCAGGCAGACGGAAGCATCACTCTGCAGTCCCCCGGTTGGTTGCGCGTGTGTTGCTAATGCTGTCTGTCATTGCGGGTCAATGGAGTGTGTGCAGCTAGGGAGGAAAGTGGAGTGTGTGTGGCGAGCGCTGTGTCATTCATGTCATTGATTTTTGACGAGTGCGTCGCGTGGAATGATGTGTGCGTTCGATCGGCCCCCTTAACAAGACTCTGGGGGTGGCGTCTCACGTCTCAATGAAGCTGAGGACGGAAGATCCTTCTCAGCAGTTCCGTGAGGCAGCAATGATGCGATCATGGCAACGACAAACAAGGCTTTCGTCCTCATTTTGCTCCGCCAACTGGTCCGCCCCGGTGCAGTTTGAGAGTGAGGATCATGACACCCACACCCGTCGGCGCCGAAGACGGTCATCACGGTCATCTTTCGTCTTTGCCGCCGCCTGCATCAGCCTCTCTGCCGTCCTCACTGGCGTCACCCGAGGGCGGTCCTCTCGGGTTTGGGAATGTGTCGGGTTGCAGTGTCGCGGCCGGGAGCGGAAGGCGTTGAAAGCGCTGCAGCCGTCGCTCAATGCCACGTCCAAGACGACAAACAACTCATTGCAGGAGGCGCTGAATCGCTTTGACGCCCATGTGTCTGACTGGCACGGTGGACGAGCCGCGAATCGCGATGATGTGTGGGGGAGCTTTCTTATCCTATCGGTCCCTCCCCGCGGCAATAATCAGACTGGGAGAGCGGCAGTGGGGCCTGCGTCTGCGTTTGTGGACGCTTTTGGCGGTGTGTCGATTGGAAGTTCCAGCTCGTCGTCAGCGTCAACCTTTCCTGGGTGCTACGACTCGGTCGGTCTGCAGTTTATCTGTGACGGGGAGCGGGACTTTCTGTTCTGCCCGCCCAACAAGGGGCTGTACATCCTCTTCGCAGTGTATGGTCGCACGGCGGGGGGTGAGCTAATGTGTCGGCCATCGCCCGTGACGACCGACTGCAGCCACGACGTCACCAGGCTGCTGCAGGAGAGATGCAACGGACAGAGGCAATGTGACGTCTGTAAGCTTAATTGCTGGACGAAGGGATCGATGGCTGGCAGAGAGACAAAGAGACTGACAGTCAGGGACACGTGCAGCAAGTATTCAATATGTATGCCATCCACGGGGGATGGAATGTTTGTGTGTATGTGTGTGTATGTGTCCACAGACGTGAGTGACGCGCTCGCCGAAGAGAGCACGTGCACGGGTCGGTGATGGATGACATAATACAGCACGCATGCATCGATGCATCAACCATCCCACCGCACCCCATTCCATTCCATTCTATTCCATTCCTACTTCTGCCTCCCTGTGTCTGTCTATGTCATTCGTTGGCTCGTGTCTCTGTCTGTCTGTCTGCCTGTGCAGGTGCCTACCTACGCGTGTGGCGCTTATGCCACTGTGGTGTAGCCGATGACATTCCTCTCAGCAAGGTGGGCATCGCTCCCCCGCCCGACGCCCCGAACCCTCTGCCGAGGTGTTCAGACGACTACCTGCTCCCATCCGCCGTTAGCTGGTCAATCTTTTGCGACGAGGACAGCGAGGCAATCATCTCCTGCGAAATGGGCAAGGTGCGGGTGTTTTGTGCGTCATGAGAGCTGCCTGCGAGTGTGTGTATGTGTGTCATGCAGGTCCTGATGGTGCGGTACGTGGGTTACGGCCGCAGTCCCAATCTGCCGTACGCATGCCGCCACGTGCAAATGGGTGAGAGCGAGTGCTCAGTGGTCGACCACACCGACCGGATCAGCCCCTACTGCGACAACCGAACACAGTGTGACTTGAAGCGCATCTCCCCGACACACCCAAGTATGCCGCCCTGCGAGGGAAAACCCAAGTACATGATGGTTGGCTACGAGTGCGGGTGCCCTCTGCTGCGGGAGATCATGCCGGGCATCCTGGAAACACTGCCACAGTGGCTGCCAGATGTGCCGCCAAGGACTCCGCCAGAGATTAAGGAAATCTACGACCGGCTGGGAGTGCCTGTCACGACCCAGCCCAACGCAACGGCTATAAGGAACCACTCCACAGCCATCAAGCTGCCCCCGCCCGTCCCCCCGGAGCCTCCTCGCCAGTGGTACCCCGGCTACAAACTGCATGTCCCGCCCAACGCGTCATCCACTTGGTATCCTCGCTTCTCGCTGCCCTCTCTGATGCCTCTCTTCGCCTCTCGCACCGGCACCATCATGGGACCCGATTTCGGCAAAAAATTCTCCGGTATTGGGGGATTCGGTCCCTCCGGTATTGGGGGATTCGGTCCCTCCGGTATTGGGGGATTCGGTCCTCCCGGTGGCCCTAGCATCCGCGAACGAGACAGGCCTGCAAAAATTTTCGGGTGGAGGCGATTCCATCCATGGCTGGGAGGCACGCCGGCAGAGCCCGAGGAGGAGCAGGGGGAGAAGATATCGGTGGAGGCGGGAAACGAGCCGCCGTCCACCGACTACGCCCGGTTCAATCTGGCCGTCAACAAGCCCACGGAGCAGAGCTCGACGGTGTCCGGGCATGAGTCCAAGTTGGCTGTGGACGGCGACGTCGACAGCAACCCTCTCACGGCCAAATGTGCCAGGACGCAGGGAGGCCAAGGATGGGTGGGCCAGGCAATCTTCCTTGGTTTCGACATGCGGCATCTCTCTCGCTGTCTGTCTGTCTTTCACACGTGCAGTTGCCGTGGTGGAGGGTGGACCTACAAGAGGACAAGGGTCCAGTGTTCGGCGTGTTTCTTTAAAGAGACTGGTCGGCCTCCAAGTCTGGGTAGGCAACGACCCCGGCGCCTATCGAGCAGCAGGAAACCTACCCTGCATCCCTCCCGGCGGCGGCATGAACAAGTGGATGGCCGGAGGCACCACGACCATCGAATGCCAGAAAGTCGTGGACTATGGCTGGGTGACGGACGTGCTGTACCCCACAGGCCGATACGTGTGGGTGGTGCTGCCGTTTGCGCCACACGCCGTCATGACGCTGTGTGAGGTGGCTGTGTGGGGATTTGACGAGAGGGCTTTGGAGGCGATGAAGACAGAGATGAGGCAGAGACTGAGGGTGGCGCCGCCCAACCTGGCGCTCCACCGGCCTGTCAAGCAGCACCCCGATGGCGGCAGCGGCAGCGGCAGCCAGCCGGCGTCCCCCGCTGTCGACGGCACACCCGATCCATCCAAATGTAAAGAAGTGAGACATGATCCTCATCGTCTCTGTTTCGCTACGTGTCTCTATTGCCAGGCAGCCAGACGCCGCCATCCCCCCAGCCGTGGCTGCGCATAGCCCTTACACATCCCTTTTCGATCGGGGCTGTCCGCTTCCTGGCTCCGAAACGTGCTTCATTGCTAGGTGATACACAATGACGGATCCTTGGAGACAATTGCTTGGAGAAGCGACCCCCAATTGTGCGTGTGTGCAGAGGACATCAGAGTCTTCGTAGGCGAGAGTGATGATGAGAGGTTCGGGGAGGCCAATCTGACAGAGTGCGAGCCAGAAGTTGAGCTAAGAGATATTCCACCAAGCGAATGGACCCAGCTGACGTGTGACAACCTACCTAAGGGCGAATATGTGTGGCTTGTGCTCAAGGCCGCAGCGGATGTTCCTCAGCGGATCTTGTCGCTGTGCGAGGTGGAGGTGTGGCAGGGGGCGATCATGCCAGGAGGCGGTGAGCGCACGTCTGAGTGAATGAATGGATGCGCAGGTGCTCTCTTGTCTGTCTCTTATATGTACCTTTTGTGTGCAGGCGATGCCAAGCGGAGCTTTAGCAGCTTGCCGGCCTACACGCGTGAGGACCACAGCTGCATGCTCCCCGAGACGACCAACACACGGGACCTGCAGCGCGTCCCACCAGAGGAGGGCATCATGTCCGCCATACTATGCCAATATCGCTGCCAGCACACCACGGGCTGCGGCGGTTTCTCATGGCACGAAAAGGACTTCAGATGTGTCCTGAAGGCAGGCCACAGCCCAGCAGTGCTGGAGCCGGAGGCCCACGTCGTTTCCGGGCCACGACTGTGCGAGTGTATGGAAAGCAACGCATTCTGTGAGGGGGAGAGCCTTCCACACATGCCGGTGGCTTCCACCCGGCTCGCCCCACATCCGAAGAACGGGCAGCAGGTGTTGATCGACGCCCCGCTGGTGTGTCAGGAGCTATGTCAGGCCAGCGTCAACTGCAATGGGTTTGTGTATGTGGGGGAGACAGAAGAGCAAACGACCAGCAGTGATGCGGCCGAGAGTGGTCTCCGCGACAGCATTGAGGAGGGGAGGGCGTATGCGTGTTACTTGAAGCGGGCGCGGCATCAGAAAACGAAGACAGAGGGGATTGACGCACAGGGATATGTCACCGGGCCAAAGGCATGTGGTGAGACAGACGAAGAGACGACACAAACAAAGCGAGAGAGATCTCAATGCATGTCTCTCTCTCTCTCTCTCTCTCTCCACGTGTGTGTGTGTGCGCGTGCCTTAGGGGGCTATGACGTGGACGTGGAGTACACTGGCGAGTCGCTGCCGGGCACGCCTATCGCCCACATCAGCTCCCACCTGGCGTGTCAGTCCCTCTGCCAGAGCCACCCCACATGCAGATACTGGTCGCACTATACCAACAAGGCATCGACAGATCGGCTGACATGTTGGCTCAAGAAGGCCAAATACGCCGACAACGAGAGTCTACCGGTGCACAAGAGGGGGGTCGTGTCGGGGAGGCGGTACACGTGAGTTGAGTGACAGACACATTGCATGCATTGTATGTGAGCGTGTTGTGTGGGTGTGACATCCATATATTGGCCAGGGGCACTAGGACAATGAATGATGTGACTGACGTACGTAGGCATGCATATGTGCGTGTGAGTGGTGAGTGAAGCCATCCATGTGTGTGTCTTGGGCCCATGATCAATCGTGCCACGTGATGGACGGGTCAATACTGTCACAGTCTGGCGGTAAGAAGCATGCAAGAGTGAGCGATAGATGTCAGTGGGGACGGGGAGGGCACACCCACACCCACACGACAGACAGCACACGGTAGCATCGCATCTCTGTAACAGTGTGTGTGGACCGTTTAATTGCTACGACGCCCCCTCCACCCCCCAAGTACAGAGAGACAGACAGACAGGCTACTCAACTAGATACTCATTGATAGTACAGACAGATGGGCCAAAGGGGCGGCGAGACACAAGTAGGCCGACAAATAATCGAAGCCCACAGGCGCCCCAAGAGTGAAGCAGCTCTACCCACCTATACACGAGCGAAAGTCACCAGCGATGCAATCAATGCAGCTGTTGAAAAACCTCAACAAACAAGACAGAGGGGGGGAGATTGCCCCCATCCATTATGTGAGGTTGTTGTGCAGGTCGATGATCTGCCGCCTCCCCAGCGGCTGGTCCCACACAATGACGTCATCAATGGACCCCATGAAGTTCCCCGACGGCCTTTCCCCGAAGGCGTTGGTGCCCATGCTCTCCCCAATCGCACACGCCATCTCAGAGTGGTGCGGCAGCGACTTGAGCTTGATGCTCTCGGCAGCCCTCTCTTGGCCATTCATGTAGAGCGCCACGTTGCCCTTGTCGAAGGTGCAGCACACGTGCGTCCACTGGCCGTCTGGGAGCGGCGACGCCTTAACGATCTGCCGGTCGCCACGCGAGACGAAGGCCGCCTGGAGCTCGTCGCCTTGGTGTCTGAGTGCGAAGCCGGTCCTCTTGCCGCCCTGCTCGTAGATGATGCGCCGGCCGTTGGTTCCGGACGCAGGCTCCACCCAGGCACACACCGTCAGGGAGGTGAAGCCACGACTGAGAATGTCGGACTTGAGCCGAATGGACTCACCGCTGCCGTCCATTCTGCATCACATACGGACAGGACGAGGAGGCCACGTGTGCGGTGCGGTGTGCGTGTATGTATTCGTCCGTCCTCACTCACTTGACAGCTCCGTTGCCCTGTTTCCTGTTGGTGTCGAAGTGCCAGTCCTTGCCCTGCCCGTCTGTGAACCCCGACACGTCCTTGGCGTCCCTGTCCATCTTCCACCGACCCACCACGCCCCCCATCGCAGCCAGGTTCGCCTCAGACGGGGCGTTGTAGCTGCCGTACACACGCACTTCATCCATTTGCCCTGTGAAAAAGTCGGACTCGCGATTGTTGTGGTCGCCGAAGGACGAGCCGCCGACCGACGCGCCGAGGGCAGCCTGGCCCGCAATTGTGGTGCCCTTCATCGTCATGGCTGAGTCGTCCACATCGTAGCTGCTGTAGCTGCTGTGGTTGCTGTCCAGGAGCACGTCTGTGAGGTCAGCCGAGGGGCTATCCACCGCTGGCGGCTCAGTGACGGCGAGTGTGATGGGGGGCGAGATGTCTAGCTTCTCCACCTTGGAAGTGTGGGGCTGTGGAAGGGGTGGGACGTCGAAGTATACCGTATCGGCATGCCGCTGTTGTTGCTGTTGCTGTCGCTGCTGTTGCTGCTGCTGCTGTCGTTGTCTCCTTCGCTTCTTGGTGGCCTTTGCCTTGCTGGCCTTTGCCTTTCTCTTGGGGCGTTTGCCTTTCTTCTGCTTGCCCTTGGGGTTGTTGGTCGGTGTCTTGCCTTTGGGGTTGTTGGTTGGTGTCTTGGGCTGTTTCTGCTTGCTGCCCCCCGCCGCCTGGCAGGCCATCTTGAGGCCGTCCAGGAAGAGACAGGCCTCCGAGTCGCCGTACTGCAGGGCCACATGCGCCCAGCTCTAATGGATCCCACACACGGCACGGACACACAGTCCCGGTGCAGGTCCGGGCCCCCTGACTGTCTCTGTGCGTGCCGTGCCCACCCCACCTGGTGTGTGAATCGCTTGGCCACCCTGAGTGTGTGGCCATTCATGCGAATGATCCCCTCCATTTTGCTGTCCTTCAGACGCAACGCAGCGCCAGCATAGTCGTTGCCCTGACACACGAGCATACCACAATCCACCTGTGGCTCGTCTCGTCCATCAGCTGAGGTCACTGTGCGTCCACCCACCTCGTCATAGAGCACTTGTGCCTCCTCCATCGGCCCCTGTTCTGCCTTGACCCACATGGACACCGTCCGGCCGTCCGTCCGCTTGGTGAAGTGGGCGTGGCTGATGTCCGCCCAGCCACCGCGCGGCAACACCAGCACACCATCCAAAGGCGCCCTCTTGTCCAGCGCTGACAAATAGGCACCGCCCTTGAGCGACAACCGGTTCTGCTTCCGCTTATCGGCCGTCGACTGCCCTTCTGCACTCACACACGCACACGGAGCGAGAGACAATACATGTGACCACCGGCTCTTGTCTTGACGCCAATTAGTCTTCTCTCACCGAATGTCCAGAAGAACATTGATTTGGGGTAGGGGAAGCCGACAGGCGTGTCCCTGAAGAACGGCATGGCGGTGGCCACCCCCTCGCGCAGAAGCACGATGTTGAGCTGCTTCTTCATTCTGGCGATTGTGTCCTGCGCCCCGCTGCTGGTTTTGGTTTTGGTGAGGTCGTGCAGCTCGTAGGGGTCGTTCTTGATGTTGTAGAACTCCTCCCGGCCCTTGAGGTACATGCAGCGGGTCTTGGTCCTGGGTCCGCCGCACAAGGGGTCGTAAAGGGTGGGCGCTATGTGAATCAGCTTCTCCGTCTTGGTGCGCAGCGCAAACCTGCCAACACGGGAACAGACAGAGAACAGAGAAGACCGACCCATGTGTGGTGCTGAAAGGGCCCGGGGGAGGGGAGGTACCATTGGAATGGCGGGCCGATTTTGTGTTCGGGGTAGTAGTTCATGAGCACCCCCTCTGGCCAGATCTCCTTGCCGGTCGTCTCGAGCAGCGGCCGCATGCTCCTCCCCATGACCACGTCGCGCCCGTTGAGGCCGGCATAATCCATGATGGTGGCGGGGATGTCCATGTGCAGCACCAACGCATCCTCGAAACTGTCGCGGCGAACGCGGCCCCCCGGATAAGACACGATCAGCGGAACTGACACGGACAGACAGGGGGGAGGCGAGGCGAGTGGAGGACCGCGTGTGTGTGTGGTGGCGGTGCGGTGCAGTGGGTGGTACTGCGTGGTACACACTGCCTACTCTTGATGGATTCCTCGTAGGCGAAGCGCTTGTCGACGAGGCCGTGCTCGCTGCAAGCAAGGGAGGAAGAACGCAGGCAGCAGAAGATGACTGACACTCATGCCGGCTAGCGTGGTGCCAACCAAGTTTTACCCGAGAAAGTACCCATTGTCTCTGAGAGCATACACACACCACAGACCACAGACAAGTAATACTGCCTGCCCTGCACCCATGCCTGTCTTCCCATTCCCATACCCACCCCAGGTAGAATGTCATGGTTGTATCGTGTATGCCGATGTTCATCATTTCCTTGCGCACGCGGCCCATGTTCATGTCGATGGTCTCCACCGACTCGAAGTACTCCTCCTTGAAGCGCGCAGGGGGGAAGCCGCTCTTCGAGTTGGGCGGCGACTTCATGAGCCCCCCCACGAACATTTCCTTGGTCCGGGGATGCGGGCTGCGAGGGGTGTGCGGGGCCTGCCATTGCCATGCCATGACAGACAAACAGATCACCAACACACACACACACACAGAGAGAGAGAGAGTCTCAGAGAGATTGCAGTGCCGAAATGTGTGAGCGCCCAGTGCACCTTGACGCTGAGCACGGCGAAGAATGGTCTTGGGTTGTCTTGGTTAGCCCTGAGCCAGTCGAGGAAGAAGTTGGTGACGGTGTCGTCGATGAACTCCTTGGGGTTCGTCTTAGTCTTCTTGCCGTTGACCCACATCTGGTTCCCGTTGAAGTAGTCGCCCTGACCGCGAAATGTGGCGACCGTCTCGAAGCCAGGCCGGTCGAGCTGCTCCTTCATGTGCCACTTGCCGAAGTATCCGGTGCGGTAGCCCTGCCGCCTGAGCCGCTCGGCGATGGTGAGGTCGCCCAGGTGTGTCATGCCGTCGCCGGCATCGGGCAAGGGGAACTCGTCATCGTTTCCCAGCACACCATGGACGTGCTCGCGCTCACCTGATGGATGGAGGGAGCAGAGCAGAGCAGAGCATTCATCTGGTCTGGTGTCTAATTAGCTAAGACACACTTGCTGTGGTGGAGGTGGAGGAAGGAGTGAGTGTGTTACCGACCGGAGTAGAGTGTGCCTTTGCTGGGGCTGCAGAGGGGGTCGCTGACGAAAGCGTTTGTGAAGAAGACGCCCTCGGATATCATGTCGTCCATGTTGGGGGTCTTGCCTCTGCACACAACACACACACACACACATCCAAAGAGATCCATCCAATTGTCCGTCCCTGGCTCCCTCTGCTGTCGTCTCGGTCCGTCCTTACACGATAAATGGGAAGAGCCGTTTGTCTTGAGGTAGGTGCTGCTGCACCTTGCCTATCCCATCCCACCTGTGGTCGTCACTCAGTATGATCAGAAAGTTGGGTCGGCCGTCCTGAGAGCTGGAGGGGTCGACGCCCCAAGCCTTGAGGCCCGTGGAATTGGTGGGGTCGACGTCTATCGCCGACCACTCGGCCGAGAACTGACTCGTGATGGGGTCCCGCCAGTCGGCATCGCTCACGCCCCACTGCAGGCTGGTGGCTGACAGTGAGGGCCCTGACTTGGCCGCCTCGACACGTGCGTCAACTGAGATGTCGTATGTGTCCTGGCCGCTATCATAACCTCCACCGTGGTCGCCGCTGCTCTGCGGTGGACCATTATCGCTTTTGTCGTCGCTCGTGGACACACGACGATGCTGCCAACAGCCAGCAGAGAGAACATCGCCTGACGCACAGATAGGTGCGCCTCGTGTGTTGTGTGCCGCTCTCACCTGGTGGTCTTGTGGGTCGTTGAGTGGTGCTTCTGCATCTTGCAGCTCGCTCGGCCGCAGAAGTGAGGGCGCCCCGCGGACAGACTGGAGGACGATGAGCTGGATCACGCACGCGAGCAACACGAGCAACACGTCCATCAGGACAGGCAGCAATGTGTGTACTATTATTTCGGACCGTTGCAAATGAAGAGATGATGCGGCGGAACGATGGGGCTTTGAGGTGGCTTCTCTGTCTCTTCTTCTTTTGCTGTGCGCGCGCTATCCGATTCGGGCCGTTCGAGTGAGTCACACCAAGACACCACAGCTCTGCAGACAATCAATGCATCATTGTATTGCTGTGCTGTGCTGTGCTCGTCAGGTATGTCCATCCGCGGCCAGAGGGTGTCTATGTGTCCGCAGCCACGCAGATTGCCGCTCGCTACGAAGCGCCCATCGGGTCCGACTCCATCGAGGGCAGAATCAGGGTCAGAGGCGACACCTCCGGCAGCACTGAAGGCAGGACCGTCCTCGCCGCCGACAACCGCACAATCGTCTTCCACCCCGATCAGCCCTTCGCTGCCGGCGAGAATGTGCACGTGGACATCCACACCGGCATCCAGACGCAACTCGGGCGGACGGTGCTGTCCTTCTCTTGGGAGTTCTCTATTGCCGCACACACGCCAGAGGTCGCGAGTTCTGATGATTGCCAACCACGTGGCGCATGTCGCTCGGGCGGCAACATGACGGCTCAGGAGCTGGTCAAGGCCGAGGTGACTGAAGGACAGCCTCGCTACTTCGTGGATGAGAATGAGATCAGCAGGCTGCCAAGTGGCAGTGGGGAGGGCAGCCTGGTGACGCCCTACGAGCTGATGGGCTGGGGTGCGCCCCACAATGGGAGCGATGCGTCCCCCCGCGGCCGGAAGGCACCCCGGTACCCCTTTATGAATGGGCTGTCCTTCATGAAGACCCTCCAGGAGGCACACCCCCACACACACAACTACAAGACGTAAGTGATAGAGTGATGCCGATGAGCGAGACAACAAGAAAGACGCACCATATATTGGCCTTGCTGGCCGGGCTGTTGTCATGCTACCTGCCATGGTGCGTGTGTGTGTCAGTCTGCCGCAGACGTACCCCAGAATCCGGCTGGCTGTGCCGCCCAAGAGGGGCGTGGCTGAGGGCTATCTGATGGTGGCCAACAAGAAGGCCAAGCGGGCGATGAAAGGCGGCACGCACCACCCGTACTTTCTCATGGTCGACGTACGTGGCGATCCGGTCGTCTACATGGACGGAGGCATCAACACCGACGGCCACAACCCCTTCGCAGACCTCAGCCTCTCGCCAAATGCTGACGAGATCGCCCTAGCCAACATGGTCATGGACAGCGGCTACCGGCTCAAGAGGAAGTACCCGCCGCCACACGGCTACGCTCTGAGCGGTGAGTGTGGGCGAAGTAAGGGGATGGTTTGTCTTTCAACAATGGGTCGATTGTGTTGCAGGTTACGGCTTCAGGGTCAACGGACAAGGCATGTGGAGCGTCTGACTGACATGCACCATTTGGCTGAGAGCTCTGGTGTGCTGTCCTTGGCAGGTTATGCGTTGATGGTGCACACGGACCGTCAGCAGGTGCAGTACAGAGGCCACCCCAAGGAGGTCGAGGCGACGATCGTGACGGAGCAGGACCAGGACGGCAATGTCTTGTTCGAGTGGCGGCAATGGTGCGGCCATCCACCAGACAGACAGAGAGAAAGGAAAGGATGGGTCAGCAGCAGAGACTGTCTCTCTGTCTGTGTGTGGGGGTGGTATGTGTCAGGGACCACATGTCCGTGGAGGACATCATGGCGAGCTCCATTAAGAGGAGAAAACACGAGGCAGCGGACTACACACACCCGTGAGACCGACCACATGCATAGGCACACACGGACGGACGGACAATCGGCTTCTTGTGTTGTGTGATGGGCGGGCCTGTGTTTCGACGGGATGGCAGCAATGCGGCCTCCTGGACCGATGACGGCAACCACGTCTACTCGTTCAGACACCTTGGTGGGTGGTGCAGACACACACAGACACACAAAGGGAAGAGGAATACGGAAAGCCTGGTATGTATGTCTCACGTGCTCTGTCTGTTTGTCAGGCGTCATGAAGGTGACCAAGCAGACCAACACACTACACACATGTCTGTCCACACCCCACACAGAAGTCCCCCTCCCCTCTCTCCCCTCTGGCTTTGTTCCCGCGCCCACACAGGTCAGCCGCGTCACGGCCGAGGTCATGTGGACGATGGGGAGGCGCCCCAACTTCAACCAGTTCCAGATTTTGCAGGACGAGCGGCCCTTCAGCAGCCAGCACGACGCCCACATGGTGTCGGGCGACACCCTCCTGATGCTCGACAACAACAACCACCACCCGCCATTCTACGCCCGGATGGTCGAGTACCACGTCGATGAAAAGCGGCAGGTGGCCACCAGGACATGGGACTTCAACGACCACACCAAGATCTTCTCTATCGGTCGGTCAGCAACGGGCGGGCGAAAGGCCACGGACGGGCGCACAACGGCACTCACTATGATGTGGTCTGTCTTGTGTGTGGTGTGCAGGTGACGGGTCGGTCCAGAGGTTACCGAACGGCAACCGAGGCATCTGCTGGGGCGGCTTTGGGCTGCTGGTCACTGGAGAACCTGGTGCAGTGCCATTCTGGACAGAGGTATCGTCGGACGGCGAGAAGCTGCTGGAGATGTATTTCGAGGATGGATCTAACAGCCAGGTGGCAAGGAAGATCCCGAGGAACAACTGGCGGGGCCACCCGAGATGGAAACCCACACTCGTCATCGACACCGACAACCCGTCGCAGACTCCCACACTCCACTGTACTGTCTCACACAGCGACTAACAGCCAGCCGTGCAGTACACGTGACGAGATATGTGATGCTCTGGTGTCATTCATGGTCTCTCCTGCAGTCTCATGGAACGGTGCAACGGTCCATTCTTCTTGGGAGATCCTCCGCGGCCCCTCCCCGTCAAGCGTCACCACCGTCATTGCCCGCATCCCCAAGAGGCAGTTCGAGCACAGCCTGCGGGTGCCCGGGGCAGGTGCTACATGCCAGTACTACATGGCTGTACCCAAAGACGAAGAGGGCCAACAGCTGTCGGCGTCGGATGCCATCCCCTCACTCAAATGCCCCCAAGAAACCGACAAAGCCAAAGATGAACAGCAGCAGCAGCAGGATCCCGATGAGCCGAGACTCGAGGCGTTTGCTCAATTGGAGGGCGGTGAGGAGTTCGCCGTTCTCGGCGAAAACGACCAACGGAAAGAGGTCGCGAGCGCGAGTCAGTTCGGTCACTTTGATCCTGGCCGCGACAGACATGCCGAGAGGAAGCAAGAGGGAGAGGGTAAGGACGGGGGAGGGAGTGGGGGAGAGGGGAGTGGGGGAGAGGGGAGTGGGGGAAGCGACGGCCAAGAGAACACCGGCCCCTGGTACCAAGGGCCGATCAAGCACGGCTCCAACGGGGCACTGTGCAAAATCGCCGCTAGCAAGCGCGAGCAGTGCGACCCGGTGAGGCCAAACATGACGCCAGAAGAATGCAGAGGTGTGTGACCTATAGATACCGACACGACCCCATATTGGTACCTCACCCAACACCTCCCTGGCTCTTGTGTGTCTGTCTGTCTGTCTGTGTCTGTCTGTGTGTGTCTGTGGACAGCGATAGGGTGCTGTTTCAGGCCGGCCCCCAAGCTCTCCAAGACCCCGTCGTGCTATGCCCCTGTGCAGGTGGAGCAGAGGAACAAGCAGCCATCACCCCTGGAGGTGCCAGTCCAGCGGACACAAGCCGGCGGGCGGTGTGCCGCCACTAAGGCAGACAAATGGGACTGCGGATACCTGGGCATCCGCGAGCAGGAATGCGTCGCCAACGGTGAGTGAGACAACCGCATAGCCACAGAGACAGACAGAGACACGGTGTGTGTGGTGTAACTAACTAACGTGTCTCTGTGGGTGTGCGGTGCGTCAGGTTGTTGTTGGAGCCGCACAGAGGACGGCAGCTCGCCGTGGTGCTATCACGTCGGAGGCACCTGTGTGCAGCCCAAGTTGGACGCGCGGCGTGACTGTGGTTTTTATGGGATTGGGGGTAAGGAGTGTCAGTCCAAGGGCTGCTGCTGGGACACAGGGGCGAAGCCTGGGGTCATCAAGTGCTACAAACCCACGGCCGTGTGACCGACCATATGGAGAGAGGGACATAATACCAAGGGGAGGGAGAAGAGGGGGGCAGGGCATGTGTATTCATTTGTCTGTCTGTCTGTCTTGTGCTGCACGTGGCGGTCGACTTTCGTATATATTTGTAGCCATATATTAGCCATTGATTGTATTATATAGGTGTGTGTACTTAGTTGCACTTGGTTGAGTGGGTACTCTTCTCTCTCCGCCCCTTGCCCTTGTCTGCCTGCTTGTTTGGTGCCTGCTGCATGCCTGGCTTCGTGTGGCCGTGTGGCTGGCGTGGCCCGTCTAAGCCGATTGGTGCCTGCCTGCCTGCCTGTCTGGCCGCTCATACATACACACACACATACATTGATTGGTACACGTAGTAGGTAGGAGGAATGCTCTTGGTACCAATGCAATTCACTCATGTGTGTGCATGTTAATTGGCGCGGTGCGAGGGAGGGTTCACGTGTGTGCACGTCTCGTCACGTCACGTCAGGTGTGTGTCCATACCAAGACCGCTATTACATTACAATGGCCAGTAGGACGTGTCCACACACACAACCATTCATTGATTCCATTCGTGTGCCGGTGTCTGTCTGTACACGTTCTTCCTTCCGCAAAACCTCACCTCACACGTACCCACCCGACAAACTTGCGAGGCGGGCAAAAAGCACCACCACGGCCTCATTGAGGGGAGGCAGGCATTGTCAAAAAAGCCTTGCTCATTTCTCGCAAGCAAGAAGTTCAGCAGCTGATGACGGGGAAGGCGCCCGTGCGCACGTACCACATGGAGGCGGCATGGATGGTCGGCAGGAACGAAAAGCCCACGGGCAGCCGCAGCCAAGTGTGGTCGCCATACTCGCCGTCTGCAGACAGACAGACAGACACGATGGGAAAACGATGCAGACAGCCGATGTCCATCCAAGTGGGAAGGTCTGACTGACTGACTGACCTTTGTCGGTAAAGTGTCCTGACAGCACATAGATCTCCATGCCGCCATCAGGTGACACGATGGGCCGTGAGGCTTCGCCGGGCTGCCACCGATACAACCTCACCACCTGCCCACAAACGTACCAATCGAAAGATATGCAGCCAATCGGCACAGCGCCCGCATAGGTTCTTTGCTTCAGTACCTCTTTGGTCAACGGGCTTTTGAACAGCAACGAGGTCTCGAGCAGCGGATCATCCGCCGACCTCTCCCACTGCCTCTCCGCCTCGTCATAGAAGCTCGTTTTGACGAACTGACAAGCACACCCCCACATACACATGAGGGACAGATGGTCGTTTCCACAGCTAGGTGCAGCAGCTGGGGTGTCTTGGCTGCTGACCGGGTCGTCTTTGTGCATCTGTATGAGCTTGACGAATATGGTGCAGCCGTCCTCTCTCGTCCACGGCTCGTGCGACGAACCGCACCTGCACAGCACACAGGCAGACACACAAACACAAGACAGACATCAGTGCCGACACCTGCCTGAATGTCTGTCCGGTCCGCCCGGGTGTTGTGTTGCCTACGGGTTCCGTATGTAAGTGCCTGGGCCATGGTCGCCATCTTTGTCACAAAAGTGCCCGTCAAGCACAAAGTACTCCTCTCCCCCGTGATGTGTGTGGAAGGGGAACTTGGCGTTGGCATCGTACCGAACCACACTGCAAAGCGCATGACCGAAACAAAACATGGGCGCCCTCGCTCGCCCCATCCTCCCTCCCTCCCTCCCTCCTTCCTTCGAGGATCCTGTAGATCTTCAAGTGTCTGACCTGGTGGCTCTTGCGACGTCGTCGTGAAATGTTATTCGGTCGAGCAAGCGCCTGTGGACACCGCTGACCTTTGGTGCCGCACGCCACTCGACGTCAGCGAGCCTTTTGACAACCTGCAACATACGACTCATCACCACGTCCCTCCCCAGATCAGATCTTTGCCTACTCGCGCAGAGAAGTTGGTATCCACGTTCACCATTTCTTCTCGACGTAGAGGCTGGTAGAGGATCGTTGTCGTTGCCCGCAACAGATGAGGTAGAGAAGGTTCACAAGAAGGAGGCAGAGTTCAGTTACACGCGATCTACTCCAACTCACACCACCTTTTCAAGAGCTCCTTTGAGTTCGCTTTTTTCCCCGCTGCAGCCTTTCCACAGCCCCTGAGATGGTTCAGTCTGTGATCTGCCCAATGAAGCATGATCGTTTCAGAATCAGCCGCCCTTCCACTCTCCTGTCGGCCCTCCTGTGCTCATGCGCCTCACTGGGGGCTGGGGATGCCTTTATCTCCCCTGTCAAGCCCTCCCCTCTCAGCCCAAGGGCCGTCACGCCGCCGCCCAGCACCCCATCCAGAGTGCAGAGCCACGGCGATGTGCTGGAGTCGCTGACATCGTCGTCTGAGCTGCTGTCGGTGTTCAACCCGTTCGACTGGCGTGATCCGGGTGTGCAGGACTTGATCAAGAACGTCGGCCCGCCGCTGTACCTCGTGGGAGCTCTCGCGCTGGTGTCGCTGTTTGTCTTCCCGGGCACGCGCAACGTGCTGGGCAACGTGCAGCTGGAGCAGCGGCTGAGGACACTCAACAAACAGATAGAGGAGGAGGTGACTGAGCGGGGAAGGAAGCAAGGAGGGCTGCCACTGAGGATGGATGGATGGATGGCTTGTGTGTGTCCGATACATACGCAGGATCAGCAGAAGGGTTCGGGTGAGGTCTTGTACGGCATCGGCAGGTCGTTCCTCTCTCGCGGCATGTTTGAGGAGGCGGCGCTGACCTTCACTCTGGCAAAGGAGCTGTGGAACCCGCTCGACACGCTCGGCCGGGCGGTGCTGAGCAACGCGGTGGGGCTGGCCTACTTCAGGCTCAAGAAGACTGACGAGGCCATCCACTACTACAAACAGGCCATACGACTGGTGCCCGACTACATCACGGCACACAGCAACCTCGGTGAGCACCGCGCCGATATATGCGGGAAGACCGCTGGTGTGGCCATGGTGATGTGATGTGGTGTGTTGTGTCTGTTGTTCCATCCATCCATGCATCCATCAGGTCATGCATACGCGTTGCAGGGTGACCTGCCCTCGTCGCTGGAGACCTTCCAAACGGTCCTCAAGCTCGACGCCAACCACCCCGTGGCAAACAGAGTCCTGGACAAAATGGAGGAACGGTCAGACACACATACACTCTCATCCACAGCACAGAACGAACTAGTATATGGCGACAGACCCGTCATTCATTTGCTCTGTCCCGTCACTGTGTGGGTTTGGTTCAGGTATGGGAAGCGCATTGGTGAGGGTGCACCGGGGGCACCACCGCCGTCGAGGGCGGCCAAGCTTGATGCGAAGCCAGTGGCTGATAAGGCCAGGAGGAGTGCGGAAAAGCGGCAGGAAGATGATGGGGAGTACATGACGCTGCCGTCAGGCAGACGGGTCAAGGCTGCTGGGGTCAAAGTCACACGCGTCCAGTCATGATATATATCGATGCGTGCGTGCGTGACCTTAAGGGACCGCAGTTTGCAGCCCTGGTCAACCCGTGTGGCGGGCCAGGGGTGGTGATGCAGTCAGTGAGTGTTTGATTTTTTGTCATTCATTGCGACGTAGTAGCTCTTGTCGTTAGTCTGTCTTTCGCATGGAATAATGGAAGGCAGAAGAGGGACGCATGGAGAGCACAGCGTCTATCTGTCTGTGCATGTGTGGTGGGTGTACATACATACCAAGACAGACAGCGTCAATGACATGGCGGCCGCCGTGCCCACTCGTCCGTCCGTCCGTGTAGACTGCGAAACCTGTCGACTAAAACGACACGACTCTATCGACCCTTCCTTCCCTTGACCAAAAAACTGTGCATCTGCCACCAACGTGGCGGGCAA